TTAACAAGGCGGCATAACCGCACGGAAAGGATGCGACCAGGCGCATTGGATCGCGCTGGTAAATGACTAGCAGTTGTTGGCACGACACACCTGGCCATTTCAGGTTTCTGTTTTAATTGGTCGATCTTCCAACAGCGCATCACTCAATGCTGGCGGACCGAACAAAGAGCGATGTTTGAACGCCACTCTATGTATACATGATGAACATCATGTTTACATATCGGCCGAACATCATCGTCCCGATATGCAAACATGCAGCATCCAATTTAAAACATTTTAATCGCTGCGCGAAATGTGCAGCTATGCGCACACGACGTGATTGTTGTCATTATGTCACTGTTACCCGGCAATGCACTTCGCTCCTAGGCCGACTTGCCCTTTTTTGTCCAAATCACCCCTTGACAGCGCACTGCTGACTGCGGCCGGCCTGCCCGTAGCCGATGGCCGTAACAGGGCGGCCTAGAAAATCAAGCGTGGTTAAACCCGAACGAAGCTTTCAACCAAAAAGGTGCACTAAGTTTAACTAGAAAAAAAACATACCTCGCAGCACATTATCGTTCGCTTCCAAAGGCTGCAGGACCGTTCGGTCACAGCGTGGGATGTCAACCGGCCGCCATTCTGGCGACACGAGGACGGGGTCCTCTGGCCGATCCGGATGGCGTTGTAGGAATACACCATACACTGGTCCCCTCCCGGACGCGGAAAACTCTAGGGATACACCATACACTGGTTCCCTCCCGGACGCGGATAAGTCCAGGGATACACCATACACTGGTCCCCCCCCCCCCCCCCCCCCCCCCCCCCCCCCCCCACGGACGCGGATAAGTCTAGGGATACACAATACACTGGTCCCCTCCCGGACGCGGAAAACTCTAGGGATACACCATACACTGGTCCCCTCCCGGACGCGGACAAGTCTAGGGATACACCATACACTGGTCCCCTCCCGGACGCGGACAAGTCTAGGGATACACCATACACTGGTCCCCCTCCCGGACGCGGAAAACCCTAGCCGGGCAGTTGACTCAGATTAATGCAGGAACCCCCCATTGACGTAGCAAGATCCCTTATCGTCGCAGGTGGTCCAATATTATTAAAGAGGCTCTAGTTCGGCTTAACGAGCAAAGGGTCCTTAACAAGTCCTTAGGGCTGAAATGTAATGAAAGGCCCCCGTCACGTACTGGGAGCCGTGACTGACACCACGCTCTTCTAGTGTGTCATTGCGGACTCTCATTCTCATGATAAGCTCCCATATCTCCTTCCATTGTCAGAGGTCCAGCCAACGCACGAGGCCCTCTGGCATTCGGGGTCCAGTCCCTGTCCCTGTCCAGTAAATGCTGTCTTGTCCTATGGGCGACTCGGAGCCCCTTGCCGACGCAAGACCCGCTATTAACACTGTGGTCCTCTGACTGCCACAGGACCTCTCATTGTTTCAGGGACCCCGACCAACGCAAATCGCGAACCCCGGCCTTGTTCCTGGTCTGGAAATGGGTCCCCATGGCTCAGACTGGCACGGGGCCAACTGTTCGGTGTTGGTAGCCTGTGACTAAAGTAAAAGTTTGCACCGTCCCATGGGATTCTCATCGGTGTAAGAGGCCCTCTGACAAACATCTGAGGTCACGGCCCTGCGGGCGGAAGTCTGAGGGACTGGCAGCCCTTTGCCAACCCGGTACACCCTGGCAGGCGCTGTGGGCCCCTGGCCGACACAGGGGCCCCCGTTGACGCAGGGGCCCCGACCAATGTAAGTCGCGGGCCCTGGTCTCGTCCCTGCCTGGGAAATGGGCCGTCCGGCCCAGACCGACACGGAGCCGACTGCTCGGCAATCGTCAGTCCCTGGGACCTTTCGGGGCCCTCTGGACCTAAGGCGGTGGGGCACGTGCCCCCTGCCTGTGTCACTGATTCAGGGCCTTGAGATGCTTTCCCCACTCGAGTGAGCCCTCAGTGAGCTTCCATTAGCGTAACAGGCCCTCATTTCATAAGGGTCCACGCTCGAGCCACAGCGGCTTTCCGTCAGATTGTGCTATTTTTACGTTTTAGCCAGACCAAATGGCATAAAAAAACGGAAGCAGACCCAGTCGCATTTTAAGGCAGGCGGAGGAGGCGGAGTCCGCTCCCTGAAACTCCCTGAACTGCTGTAACTTGATGACTGAGAGCGAACGGGGCTCGATATCTCTCGACGAAATTCTCATTTCCGAAAAGAAAATCCCGAGAATGTTTAGTAGTAGGGTAGCACGGTCCCACAGCCTGAGCTCTTAGGATGCCTTTCATCCGACACAGTTAACTCGTTTATCGACCGTTTTCGATGCAGCCAACGCATATCGATAGACGTTTATTTTGAGATTGATATATATATATATATATATATATATATATATATATATATATACCGGTGGCATTTCCAGCTTGAAAATCGTTGGGCACATCCAGAAGATGCAAAATGTGCTATTAAAGGTGGTCAAAACTGGTTTTTAATTAAGTGTATGCGGAACGGATAGGCTGGCGCTTTGTGTCTTATCAGAATAACCAAAATGTAGGCATAGAAGAGGATAGAATGTCTGTTCGGGTGGCGAAGAGAGTAGGAGTGAGAAGAAGATATTCTTAACGGCCACAGTACTCCTATGCCTTGTAAATGAATCATGACACCTGTATAACGTGCATTGACATGCATTATCAGTGTTTCCATTTTTCAACATTTTCAGAGGAGGCGGGAAGTCGCGCGATTAGGGAGTGGCCCCTCTTTGCGACCGTCAGATGCTCTGGTTCGTCAAGAGAGCCCAGCTGGTTAGAGCGCATAGACTTTCCGACCTGCCTTTCCGCCCACCGGTGGCGGGGCGGGTTCGGGTCGCTTTTGGCGTTCGCGACTCACCCCCGACTGGGATGGCCTGCGGCCAGTGGCAGTGGCCGCGCTAAAGGTCACGGGCGTCAGAGGGCGGAACAGTGTTGGACATTGCGGCACGTAACACCTTTGACACAAAGTTCTGCCGGTGACCCATAATTTCATGATCAGATGTTACGATCGAGGCCGGCGCAAAAAGCGCTATCAAGACCATATACAGCGCTTCTCAGCGTGGGCGCTGACGCCAGAAAAGCACCCAGTCAACTGGGCAGGCCACTGAAGCTAAAGTATTTTGACTTTCTGGCATTTTTACCCTTTGACCCGACCCAAGATCACCACGATTAGCAAAGGATGGTTTACTGAATATCACGCTTCGAGACGTGAAGGCCTTGTGGTCATCCACCCTATAGGCGGGAACGTGGGGCTGTTTGAAGCTAGCTTTGTCGGTTTTAAGCGCTTTGGAAACCTCTAACCTGACCCAAGGTCACCATGAGACGTTCAGTTGTTCTTCACGCTCAGGGAAGCTTCACGGTAGGTTTCGGCCAAGGCTTTTTGAGGATTGATCATACACAGGGCTTGCTCAATTATTTCCCCTTTAATGTGAAGAAAGGATGAGTTGGCGATCGATTTCAGTTTTGTGGCGATCGGTATCATGGGGTCGAGGCTTGGAGGTCTGCTGTTGACAATGGTGGTTACGGGTATTTTATTGGCCTTAAACCTATCCCAGTTACCGTGTCCTTATAACGATAAGCAGTCAACCCGAGCAAAATGGAATGGCTCATTTTGAAGATCGATATCATACGCTTGGGGCTGTCTGCAACCAGTTGGGGCCGCTATGGTTGACCTTGATGACCTGTGACCAACTCTCAACCGTCATGCTGTGAACGGGATAGGTTTCGGCCATGGTGAGCACATCTGGTGGTGATCGGTCCAATTAATTGTCGGCACATAGGGCCGTGTGCGGCGATTTTTAGGTCGGCTTTGATTGTTGTGACCTTGAACCTGACCTACTGTCACCGTGTTTTGGAGAGGGCAGGCCATCGGCTATGCTGCATCGAATGTTCGGCCCCATTCGCTCGGAGCATGACGATGTTCGCAGGCCCAGCCATGGTTTCACCGCCCATAAGCCTCGTTTGCCCTGCCACCCAAGTCCGTTGACATTTGCTTGTTTACCTATTCCGTAACAGAAGCAAGAATTCCTCGTCGGGGAACGCATGCTGGTAAAGAACACGTGCGGGCGGCGCACGCGGCCCGATCTAGCTCAGCGGTTCCCGCACGGCTTGGAATCCAGCATATCACTGCTGCTTTCCCTCGCCAGCACACGCTGCTGACGTGTTTGTAGAGTGCGGCATGTTCAAATACTTCGCAGTGTGGCCCTGCGGGTACATCGCCCTCAGAGCCACAACGCCGCTGAGGTCGGCAGATATGTTCACGTGCAGGATCCCGTCGCCGACTTCAATGCAAGTGCCGTGCTGATGGTAACCAGCTGCGCGGCATACACTGAGGCGTGTCTTGCCGGCGGGCATGCACGACTGGTGTGGCCACGCGAGAGCGCAGAGCCCACAGCTAGTTCACTTCGGGATCCGTCTTTTAAGGTCGCTGCACTTTATTGCTGCGAGATGAGCTCCAGGGCCTTGAACCTAGAATTACGTGATCAGGTCCAGTTATTCGCTTTGGGCCAATGAAATGCCTGGGTGGTATGTCGCTCCTACCATGGATTTTCTTAAGTAGCGTTGCCCGAGCACTTAGCTTGCGGCAGGTGCAACAACTTTCTACGCACATAAGTCGACAGGATGCCTCGCGGGACCCCAACCCAATTCCCGGTGAAAACACAAAGAAACCACTAGCCTTGAATTAAAAATGCCTATACGTCTGTAGTTTGTTGTGCAACCTTCAGCTGCACATACGACAAAATTGCCACGCTACGTCGGCACTCAGGCAAATTAAGGGTTTTCCCTTGCGAAGAATCACGCGGCTCACACGTGACGTCGGAAATTGCACGCTACAACCATCGGCCGTGGATAAAGGGGCCACATGCCTGGGATGCAGGGATCCTCACCCAGTCTAGTTTCTTTGAAAAGCCGGTTAAGCCGGAGCTCCCAGGTCTTTCGAATCTCACGCAGGAGCAGCTCGTGACTTGTTCCTGGCTGACCAAGCGACGTGAGTAAGTCCCGAGATTCGAGTGTATTCCACACATTCGCCACCGAGATGCGATAACCACAATCGCACTGCGCCGCCGGAGACTTCCGCTTGCGGCACACAGCACAACTTTCGCTGGAATTGAACTAAAATGAGCGAACCTGCGCTGCGGCCAGCTTGTTAGTTTCAATCGCACGGAACATTGCCGAAGCGCACGCCAACGGCCATTGGCATGCCGGTTAGAGCCACAGCAGCCGGACGCGCGGAATGACTTGGCCGTGTCCTCGCTGTCGACCGCCGGACGGGGACGGAGGCGCCGGATGTTTGACGCCAGCGTCTCGTCGACGGACACCGATTCCCGCGCGGGGTCGGTCACGCCTCCGCCCGGGGCCGCGGCGGCTGGTCGGCGGCGGGGCGGGCTCCGGCCGGGCGCTGGTGACGCTCGCGGCAGGCAGCAGCGCACGGTCATGGTCATTGGCTGGGGGCGGTCGGGTGGCTGGCTGTCGGCGGCCGCTGCTCGTCGACTGGGAACGGATAGTCCTGGCCATCAGCTGGGCTTGACCTCGCCCTCGCCAGACGACCGGCTGGGCCGCATCAGTCCGTCAGACCAAACTCAACATCCGTGCAACATCACTACCCTTCCTAGTTGCCGCACTACAACGGAGGTCGCAAACGCGTGGATCTGAGCTTCGTCAGTGCTCTCATGTAGCGTCTGGGGTACACGCCTCCATGTAACGTCTGGAGTCAGTGCTTCCATGCAACGTCTGGAGGGCGGGGGTCAGCGCTTTAATGTAACGTCTGGGGCCAGTGTTCCCTATAACGTCTGGCGCATACGCTTCCATGTAACGTCTGAAGTCAGTGCTTCCATGCAACGTCCGGAGCCAGTGCTTCCCTATAACGTCTGGGGTGCACGCTTCCATGTAACGTCTGGATTCAGTGCTTCCACGCAACGCATGAGGTCAGCGCTTTCATGCAACGTCTAGGGTCACCACCTCCATGTAACGTCCGCGTTCCATGGGGAGCTTAATCGTCTTCATGCAGGGAACCTCCACCAGCAACGCATACAAGAACCCACGCCAAAATGGAATCCTTTATTAACTGCCAGAAACAGCGCAAGGGCAAAACATGATTTCAGAGCGCAATTTGAGGTACAACATAATGGGTTAGATGAGCGAGTCTTTTGAGAGCAGACCATATCGTTGAACGCGAGGCGCCGGTTTCGAGACAGGAGCGAACTTAATGAGCAGACGGTAATAACGTTATAAAAATCACACGCCAATAAAACTACAATGGAACGACCCAACTGTACACAGGACGTAAAAATAATTTTCGGCAGGTGGTCGGCCTGTACGTATGTGGGTCGCGTTTCCATGTCACGAGCCGGTCATTCAAGCAGCTTGCGCGTCGGGCTTTATTTCCGTAAGGAGAACCAGAGCACCCCACAGTCCCATACAACAAGTAACAGGCTGTCCACGAAGGAATGAGAGAAGTATTGTCGCGGGGACGGGCGGGGGCGCGCGGCGAGGGACCCGGGCGCGGCGCCGTTCCAGGGCGACGAACGAACACGGGACGTCCCGTGCCCCACTACTCCCCGCCCCCCGCCCATAAATACGGCACCGGCCGGACACGGAACGGTCGCCCGCCCGGCATCCCCCGCCGCCGGCGCGCGGCGCGCGGCGCACCCCTCCGGCCGGCAGGCGGGCGTCCGCGGCGGCACGCACCCACGAGCGGAGCTGGAGCCAGCGACAATAACAGGTGGTCCGGCAGACCCACAAGGCACATGCTCGGGCGGTCGAGATGGAAGGAGCGACCGAGGTACGCCGATGATTAATATGTATGTACAAGCTTGCCACGAGCCATCACAGTGTGTTCGCCCCGCACGCGTTCGTTTGGCCCATGTCCCGCACCAGCGCCAAGCCCGAGGGCGGGCCCGGGCCGAGCCGAGCCGAGCCGCCGCGCGCTCCGCCCGCGCATCCTCACACCTTAGGCAGAGTTGTTGACTTTGCTGGCAATGATGACCTCGTCGCTGCATGCCTTCAATACAGTGCACTGCAAGGGGGATACGGCCCGTTAGCAAAAGTACGACACTGCGGCCCCTTACATCCACTGTTCTTGCTTTAAAGTAAAGCAGCTTCGCTGGATCACGGCTGAGAAAATAATTGATTTTAGCTGCCATGCTGATGCTCCGATCGAAAATAACACGCCCGTCGGTTGATATCTGTGTACAGCGGGAAGGAGCTTCGTCAGCAATGTTTATGAAACTGGAAAGGGTAGCTTAACACTGCAATAAACAAATCGGGGCTGTCCAGAATTTGACAGGCTTTTCATGACCCTGACCTCGCTTTCCTATTTCAAGGGTAAAGAGTTGCTCACCAGCAGTTCTTTGCCATCTTCAAAGTCCTTCTGGATCTGCTGTCCCAGGGGACCATCGGGTACCTTCAGATCACCGCGAGTCTCGCCTTTGTCGTCCATCAGAGTGCAGTAACCATCTTCAACATCAATCAGCTGTAGGGAGAAGCAGAAAGTAAAGCCTTCCCTCCAGGCATGCAGAGAATACATCTGGCGCGTAACAATGTTGTTTCAATGGTACAGCCAAACATTTGAAATATGTGCTCCCTACTCTGCATTATATACAGCTGGGTCTATGGGTGGGGGCTTTGCATCCCTTTGAAGGGGCCTCACATTGGTTGTTTCATCACATAACCAAAAACGCCCAAAATGTTGTCAAACACTGCTGTAGAGCAGCAAAAACCAGTGTGCTTTTGTGGGAGGAATCTGGTTTCCAGGTCTAAATGCATGCTATGATGCTTAGCATATGGGCCATTCCAGGACAAATTGTACCATGTACAAAATGCCCTCATCTGCCATAACTGATAAGAACTTTTATTGTTGGGTCATCTGGATGCCCTGGTAGATACCACAAATGGCGACCACTTTTATTTAGCAAGATGTATGAATTAGGTGGGTGGGTCATTGGCGCTTTACGACGCACTCAGCTGCTCAGGCTATATAGTGTCACCTGCCCCTCACCCTGGCAGGACGGGCGGGTACCGCGGGGAATCGAACCCGGTACCTCTGGTTTCCCAGACGCGTTAACCACTACACTACCGGCACCCACAATGTATGCACGCATATCATATCTGGAGGTCATGCATGTTGAAGGTGGTTATGATAATTTGAACCTTAGGGCATGCAGACGACCCCAATTACAACACGCACAGGCATGTTCAAGGTCACTGGCCTTGATTGGTCATTTCTCATCAGCAAGGTCATTACAAATTAATAGTGCCAGTTTTTGATAACTTAATTCTGGTGTCCAGACACACTGATTTTTGTTTTGTCATTGTTTACCCAGTTTTGTAATGGGCTGTGTTTGGTGACCACAGAAAGGTTGACACCTACAGCTTGACCTTGTGACCTGGCTGAAAACAATGCACCTGATGACAAAATGTACCAAGTTTCATATACTTCAGACATGACCATGTGAAATTTGGTGCCCAGCTGTGGCACTGTCCCAGAACACCCCCTATGGCACAAACTATCAGACAAAATGCAGCTGTTTAGATCACATCAGTGTGAAATCAACATCTGGTCATCATTGCCAGCTTGCTTCTTTTTCCATATCACATGATCCATCCAGTTGCTGTCATGGAAACGCCGACACAAACACGAGTTCCGAGTAACACGCAGTCCTGCATGGCTTGATTGTTAGTGAGGTGTTACAGCATAGTATCTAAGCCCATAAAATTCTGAGGGAATGCAATTCTGTTGTTATGAGCAATGCAAGCTCTAATGCCACTGGTATCCTGCTTCCCTACCTGCAAAGTTGATTATTAAGGAAGTTAATGAGTGTGTGGCTACTATGTGTTACCATGACTCCAATGCTATCTCATACTGCCATTTGGTTGAGCACTGGAAGCATGTCATAGCATAATCATTTAATCAGTGCAAACAAATTTCAACCACACACTTATCTCACCAAAACTGCTTAGAGGACATGCAAGGCTGATGGGAATATTTTACACCATGATTATCCAGAACCTCTTCAGCATGAACATGTGTGCACCAACTGCACAAAAATAAGATAGATTTGAACACCATATCCATTTCCCATATGCAAAGTTTTGTGGCATTGCATAACCTGTCCAGGAACCTACAAAACAAGATGGCAGGGGAATTGCATATTTGTCGCTGAAGCAAAAGGAGGTTGAATGGAGGAGGAAAGGAAGTTGAACTCTGAAGAGCATGAACACAGTACTCCAAACAATTTTGTATTCCTGTAAACACTATGCAATCTATAACCAAGTTGTTTTCCAACAGGCAGTCTAGTTCTGGTGAGCCCATTCATGGGAGCAAGCCCATGCCTTTGGGGACAAAGCACTGCTCCACCTATTCTGTTCCACCCAACAGCACAGAAGTATGAAGTTATGATGAGGTATGCTTGCTGCCACTGATACCCATGTGTGGCAGCTACTCTATGTTCTTGTAGCAATGGTGGTTTGTGGGCAGTGGACTCATTGAGTGAACCCACCAGCATGCCCAAGATCAGTTTCACCACCATGACAATCAGCCACAAACAATGCAGACCAGTTTAAACAAGCAGTTTTCAAGGTTTTAGCTAAAATGTTGTGATTACAATGCACTTGCCATGACCTGCAGCAATTTTCATATACCCCATGTAGAAGATGCAATAACATGGTGCTCTTTATCAGTGTGTAGCTTGGGTGGGGGTGGGGGTGGGGGTGGGGGTGGGGGTGGGGATGGGGGTTTGGCAGTGATCATGGTCTCATAAGCCAGATGGTTTACAATAAATATTAGGAATCCTTACAGGATCTAAGTGTGTGCTAACTCAATAGTTCAGGCAAAACTACACATTTTCCCCTCCTCTGAAGAAAACACACCCAGTTCTTCGCAGATCCAAGATCAGTACTTGGGGCTTATCCTAGATAACCCCTAAAATTCATTACATTTGACATGACTTGAGCACAGCCCCAGTGTAGTAAAATTACACTACAAAATCTTTGTTCATGCCCACATCAGCTTAAGTGTAAATTTACTTTTCAGCTTAACCCAACTTCATTCAGAATTGATTCAGTTTGCAACCAATCCTGAAGTAATTTGAATCAGACCCTGAAACTACCAAACTGATAACTGATTCATGACATCTGAGGCACTAGCATTAACACCAATAATGCTCTGCACTTGAAGATATTCAAGCAAGCATCAGATATGATGAAATACTCTCACTGATAACCAGTGGTATACCTTTAAGTGGAAACTTGCTGTTGACATGAATTCTCAATAAGTAAATATGCTCCCCATGTCATTGTTTGATTGCATTGCTGTACCTTTCCAACACTGAGAGCACAATGACCGCTTTTATATTTGGAAATTGTGCTAATAAATCTCAAATGCAAACCACCAAACAGTTCTATTTTCCCAGCATTAATTGTGGCACTGCCCAACAGAATGGCAGGCTGAATGATGGTATGGTGTCAGATACCTGGGTGACCTTGTAAGAGTCTCCACATCTTGGCAGGTGTGTTGCTCAAAAACTTAAGGGGTTTTGATCTTAGAATGGCAGAGCTGTGGACTGCACCAAGTGATCTTCAAGATAGCTATCCAGGCCAATACGCCCTACAAATGTGGCCCACTCCCTTTAATACGCCAGCGCACCGGCTGTGCCACCAGCTACGGTGTGGTAACACAATACGTTATATGAAAAATAGCTGATCATTTGACCAGTAAGAGGGTGATGTAAAGCATATGAATGGAACATCAGGTGGCAGGATCACAAATTTTCCATTTGGAAAGGCAGACTAGCTTGTCCAATTACCTGGCCTCATTACCTCAAGCTATGTTGGATATTATTATTTGTGCACTATGATTATCTAATTCATGTACAAACTTATCAGACCATGTGGGAGTATCGGCTAATGCTCCAGGAGGTTCAGTGTCCATTTTGAGATGGTCAGCTATAATTTCCTTTCTGAAACCACCAAAGCTGCTAGACGGCTGAAATAGCTTTGTCTTTGGGAATGATGGGAAAATGCAGGATTGGCCACCCCTCCATGTATACTGCATGCCCCAGCCCCAAGCAATAGCAAAAACAATGCAAGCCTACCTACATGTTCAAATATTGACATGCACCACAATACTTGCCTGAAGGTCTGCACGCTTGACAACAGGGACATCCATGTTGTGGGTGGAAGGACAGATATCCTCATTCTTTTTGCCAGTGAAGATGTCCAGTCCGACCATGTGAACCTTGGCATGGCCATGCTTGCCAGTCTTGGAGGTTGACATCTCAACAATCTTGCAGGGACGGCCCTTCAGCATGACAAAGCCGTTCTTGCGCAGAGCTGAGCACTGCATGGGGAATGTGGTCGAAGCACCAGAGTCACCCTGGCCCTCAAAGTCATTATCAAGCTCAATTTCGGCCATGATGTTGTGGTGTGACTGAAAAAAACAACAACATTATTTACCACTCTGCAGTGTGATACTCACAGGCTTAAGTAACTTAACACATTTTATACATGTGTTCAGGAACAGAAATAGGTTCTCATAACTTGAAACATAGTAAATCATGGCAAGATATGCTGGCAATAATTTCATTTTTTGATTTAACAGACTACAACAAACCAGACTTATTCATAGTTAACCTTATGCTACAATAATTTCTGTACTTAGGGTGCAAATGAACCTGCCAATATTTGTGCAAAGATGAAACAGCATGCAGTCACAATGACAGCATACTGCGCACTTTCCAATTCATAACATCAAGTGAGTAATCAGATTCCATGATTCAGATCTTTATTGAATCTATGGCAGGTGCTTTCATTCCCACAGGCACAGCCTTCCCATGCAACAAAGATTTGAACCTGGCCCTGCCTTATACCTACTGTTAGGCATATTGTGTTTATGAGAAATTATCTCACAGACCATTCAATGGCACCAGTTTACATACATTACAGGAAACTGCTCTGTGACTATTGATAATGCCTGATTAGGCATTCTGCCTGGTCTTGCATGCAGCTGCTCACACAACCTATATGGATAAAGTTTCAATACTTGCACAAACCAGATGGGCCCCCTAGCATACACCAGACAGGCCAGGCACCACACACTAGACAAGCCATCCACTGCATCCCAGGTAGTCCAGGCAGCTCAAGTTGGTTTATGTCTCTATGGAATGCTTGTCAATTTCTTAAGAGTTTAAATATACATGGTATATCAGATGTCATGCCAACTGAGTGTTGTCTCAGCCTCTCCTGAATATGGCAGCAGGACTTGAGTGGTAAATGCAAATCAAGTGCTTGAAAAATCTAGAGGAACACAAAAAGGGCAGAAAAAACAAACTCCTAGGATGACGGTTGCCTACATCATGAACCCACATGTCCAGCTGGAAATGCAAGTACTGGCATTCAAGTCTCATATTCAATATCATATATGCAGCTACAACTACTCCTAAAATGCAATACAAAACACTAACTGGCATCAGCAACAAGCCAGGAGATACAAGGGGCTCAAAGCCTTTCTTCTTTATTTATATATGGCTGTCAAGCTGATGATTGCACAACAGCCACTAGTAGACAAACAGCAGTTAATTACTGTTCCTAAACAGGAACAGATAATGCGATGGAGCAAGAAACTTCTAATCACTGACACAAATACCGTGAGTGAATGCACAGAGAAGCGTTCTGACTCTTCAAGCAGCGAAAGTTGCGCAAATCACTGTCGATGTTCACTGCAACACACAAACTCGGCGCAGTGAGCATACACATTTAAGCAACCATTCGATTAAGAGCATGCACATAAGGATAATACAACAGCTGCGAATAACCACAAAATCTACTGAGAGATCACTGGTCCACGATTCCACCACAGGGTACCTACAACGCCCATATAAACTCACATGCTGCCACCGACGTGGTCGAGACGCGCTAAGAGGACCCGACGGCGCATGCGCAAGGCGTTCCCTTAGTCAGCTGAATCATCAACCGGAAGTGCCCTAGTGGCTAATGTTGGCGAAATGACGTTCCATTATTTGACGGCATTCATATTTGTTTGTGAAATTTGAAAACAATGTTTTTTTGAAAAGTACAAATACTACGTCAGAACCTTTAATCTTAGGCTACATATTTCAATAAGTGTCCCATATTAGCTTGTCAGGAAGTCAAAAACCGTTCGATTACAGCATCACTATCGCTCCGTCAAGTTTGGGTGTCTTGGTTGAGGAGTGGGATCATGTTATGGATGGAAGAGTTTATGATAATTATTACATGACCATGCATGTTTCAGATGGTATTGAACAATATCATTTCACTGCACCGGATCTCAACAATGCGCCGAGCCGGGCCGGGTCAAAATGGGTTACCAATCCTGATGACACGAATGACCCGTATGGCAGAGCTGTCCTCGTATTGATGACACGCAAGTTTTATATAGATATATACATAATAAAAAAACTTGAGACAGTTGCTGATTATATTATCACTCGCTTTTTTAAGCCGTATCGATTATTTTGTTAATTTTCGAGGCATGATTTGTTTGCACACAAACTAGACGCGTTTTCTGGTGCATTTGCCGCATCCATCTAGTCAAGGCCGTGTCCGCCGTACCTATTCAGTCTTGTTTGTTGACTGGCGCGTGTGGGTCGGGTGGCGGTGTGCTGTGCGTGCTTGCTGCGCCCGTCAGCCGAATTTTTTGGTTGAACACTAAAATAAAACACCGTGGAGGACATTAGAACGCTAAAATTTTAGGTGGATGCTGCTTGGATGGATACGATCACCCTTCTCAATTAGGCGTTTTAGTGCATTGTGCGAGGCTTGCGCCTGTGCTACCTTCCCAATTGTAGGCTCACCAGCAAACATTGGGCTCCAAACTGCTTCAAGCCTGACCTTGGATGAAGAGTACCTGCAGTGAGTGTTGTGTGCTTCCTTGAAGCTTGCAATTGTGATAGCATTCCTGCTTGGGGGCATTGCAGGTTTGGGGGGGGGGGGGGCAGGGTTTTCCTGGGGACTTTAGGGTAAAGTGGGGCCTCATCCTAGGGACAGGGAGATGGGCAGCTCCATAAGCATCATAATTCCCCCTTATCAAGTTACACATATACATTTTTTTATTTCTAGGTAAATCATTGCTGACAGTTTCATAATTCCAAAAAGAGCATTTTGGTTATCCAGCAAAGGGTATCACTGCCCTAGAACATGCCCTCTTGATTCAAAGGGAGGATCTCTGTATTAGGACCAGGATGCTTTTGATTCATGCTGGAGTCCTATAAATCTAGCCAGGTAGTGTATGATCCCAAAGCAGGCTTATCTGGAACTTTGGTTTTGTGATACAAAAGGCTGGGGTAGGGAGCTCCTGTTCCCTCCCCAACTTGGCATTGGATGTAATGATTTAGAGCAAAGGCCATTTTACATATAGTGATGGCCTCACCATTGAGAAAATGGTTGTATTGATATAAAAAGTGCTGCCAAAACCTGATTTTTTAACTAGTTCAGTTATAGGGGCCTTAAGGATCAAAATTTTGGTAATTTCAGGCATAAAATGTCTTGATTTCAGGAAAAAGGCCATCCAAAAAGTAAACAAGGCCAAAGCATGCCCTTACCCCCTTTATCCCCCCCCCCTCACTGTGGTACCCCTGTCCTATGGCCACCACGCTGAGAAATCAGGATAAGCCCCCACATATGCATGTGTGCCGCACTGCGCATCTTCTCAGCATGTGCTTGGTCAATACTTCCTTGATGGGATGCCATGAATGAAGTCTCTGAAAATGGTGGTGACTGCCAAATGCTAACCACTGAGATTTGCAGCATACATGTGCTGAACTTGTTGCAGCAATAGTTCCACTGCTGGACACCCATGCGGTATTTGTGTGCTGAATCTTGCACTTATGGGCTCTGAACTCAGGCCAGGCCAAATTACACTGTTTTTTTGCATTGGGAATAAGTGAATAATATATTGGAGTACTTTTGCCTCAGGCTGTCTTTGAATATCAGTTGGACCCTCAGATCTACAGTGTACACAAGTTAAAATTGTTACAGTGATGCTGCTGCTGTGCTGAATCAGTCTGCAAAAGATGGCAGGACCAGTCAACAGGGCATTTGGTGCAGATCAGATCCTGTCCCAAATGGTGCATTCAACATCTTGGCTTCAGAGGAGTATCCCATATTAATGTAAGGTTTTGAACTGAAAGAGCCATTTTGAAGACTTTTGGTGCTGTTTACAATCCTGTCCTCAAGACCTAAGCTTCTCTTGTTTCTGAGATATACCCCAGCAAAGATGGGGGAAGAGGTATATTTGGGGAGGTATTTCAAAGTAACCTTAGTACTCATGACATCATGTCATTGAAATCCTGCAATTCTGTAAGCTATGCAGGAATCAAGGCCAAAAACTATAATTAGGCTCCAGGCATTCATATCTATCACATTCATATCATATCATTCTGAGCACAATCTCCAGATCTAATAGCCATCAGTTGGCTCTCAATCAATGTTGTGCGACATGTGACAGTGGAATCAAACCATCTTTTCCACTTGAAAAGCATATTAGTAATCATAAGTGAGCTTGCTTTATCATATCTGATGCTCCAGTATCTTCAACTGTGAAATGTTCTATTGAAGGCAGGTGGAGATCATTTGATGACCAGAGGATCTGCAATATTTTCCAGTTCCTGCCAGTTGAATTTGCATTTTCTGGGTGTACTAAATACCCACAATAGTCTGCTCAAAATGGTTCATAATCACACCAAATTAACTATCCTCTGTTCTGTAATGCATTTTTACATTACAAAGTGTATGACATTGGGAAATGTGTTGAGCATTTCACAAAGGGAATGATAACTTTTCGTGGTTTCAGAGCTGCCACACTGACACTAGGCTATCTGGCATGTGGTTACCCAACCTTCACAGGAAAGAAGGTTAGGTTGCAGGATGATTACATGGTATGTTAGGCAGTTACATTGTATGCTACACATAGTTAATGCTGGGTTACATGGGGATTGGGTGAGGGTGCAAGGATAGGGGTAGTGGTTAAATGAAGGTGTAGGTAGTGGAAGCGGGTGCAGGATAGCTGGTACTGGGTGGTGGCCGGCTGCAGTCAACTGGTTATTCTGTGATATCAATGGATTCCAGCAAATATAAGCCATCATGCATGGTCTGCAAAGCTGAAATGTTTGGTGGAAATTTGCAGTATTGTATTAGTCCAGAGAGGAGTAAGAGGACCAGATGATGCTGGGGGGCATTTGACAGGACTGGGTGGAACTGGTGGCACCAATAGTGCAGCGGTGAAGACAACACCTCTTCCAAAGTGCCAGAAGCGAATGGGCAGCAGGCAGGTTTTGGTGATTGTGCGTTCGTCCTGTGTTAGCCGTGCTGCCCCCCGTCGGCACGCGGGGGCCCGCTGGTGCCCTCCTCCTTCCCCGCCGGCACGCGGGGGCCCGCTGGCGCCCTCCTCCCTCCCCGCCGGCACGCGAGGGCCCGCTGGCGCCCTCCTCCCTCCCCGCCGGCACGCGGGGGCCCGCTGGCGCCCTCCTCCCTCCCCGCCGGCACATGGGGGCCCGCTGGTGCCCTCCTCCCCCCCCCGCCGGCACGCAGGGGCCCGCTGGCGCCCTCCTCCCTCCCCGCCGGCACGCGGGGGCCCGCTGGTGTCCTCCTCCCTCCCTGTCGGCACACCCTGAACCCGCTGGCGTCCTGCCTTTGGTGCCTTCCTCCCTCCTTGCCGGCACGCGGAGAGCCCGCTGCCGCCCTGCCATTCCTCCCTCACCCTGCGGCCTCCCTTGAGCGCCATGTGTGCCGTCGGAGCCTGTGCCGCCGCCAGCAGCGCTGGATGAGGCTCACTGTGCAGCGTCACGGCGACCATTGTTCTTGGTTTATTTTGATAACGACTGTGGGTTGTAGCCAGGACTAGCCATGTGTGATGGGGCGCAGGGGCGCCGCCAAGAGCTGGCGGGACGCAGAATAGTATAACCTGTGGAGGCTGGTAGTCAATTCACGTCCGTTTGCTACTGATGTCACTTAATTGCGTTTTAGTACATTCGCCATATGCGTGCCAGCTTACATGGGACGCAATACGCCGTCTTCAGCACACGTGGTAGCTCACTTGTGGCGTCAATCCACCAGTGTTAAAAGGATTTACAACCTTACATTCCGAGAACGGGCTATCAAGCGAACGTCGCCATGGCACCGTCGCACAGGCATCTGGCATGGTCCCAGCTGCCTAAGATGCCGAATGTCAACACAAGACTAGATGGAGGGCTGATTTGTGTGCTGGCTCGCGTTTCCTTTCTGGCAGTACATCGGTAGATGCAAATTGAAGTCGCAAAAATGCAGTCGATACACGCCAACTGAAATTGCTGCTATATCGGCTGCATAGTTGCACGTGCCCGATTACCGTCGGCCCAAATAGGTAATCGCGCCGAGGCAGTCCTGCGGCCGATGCGGAAGGCCCGGGCCGGGTTTCGCCTCAGGCAGGTGGACGAGAGATAACGCCTCTGCTGTGCGAGTGCCGGCACCGTCCGGGCGGGCGACTGCACGCGGCCCCCGGCGTACCGTCTGCCGCCGGCCTGGTGATCAACGGCGCGGGCCAGGCGCGCCGCCGCCGCCGCCGCCGATCGAGACGCGCTTTTTTCCCGCGCTCAAATCGGCGCTCGATGGTGTTCGATTCAGTGCCTGGCTGGCGACGGGGCCGCGAAAAAGCGTCGATGGCGCCGGCCGATACCCGGCGGTGGTGCTGCCGGTGACGGATGGACGGGCGCAGGTGACGCCGGCGGATGGCGTGCGTTTCGGTGCGGCTCGCGTTGTCTTGCTTGATCGCGCAGTCCCGCATGTGGGTTACGGCAAGCTTGCCAGCCAGACGCGTGCGCGAATTTCGAAAGAGGCTCTCCGACACCGGTGGGTACTGAATCCTGGGGGGTCGTTCGGTGGAGTCGTACATCTGCGATCTTATAAGGCCCTGCGACACCATTTCGACATTTTAGACACTGTGGATTTCGGATCTGGGATATAGGACCCATGTTTTGGGATTCGTGAGATATTTCTGGGATTCGCGGTCCTGCCGCTGGGTGTGCCGGCCGATCTTCTCCGCTTGGCCAGGTGTGGAGACACCTGTAATGAAAACGTTGGCGCGTCCGTGGTCCGGGACGGCCATTTCACTCGCCTCCTGTCAAATACTGCCCGTGGTGTCCCGGTGCCAGGTCAGGCCAGGCTCGCGGGTGCGCAGGCGGCTTTGCCTGTCTGCGGCCGGCGGGCGCCTCTCCACCGCTGCTGCGGCGAACGCTGCGCCCGTCTGCGGCGCCGCGAGCGAGGCGGGCTGCATGACTGCAGGCCGCAGCGGTCCTCTGCTCGCCCTGCAGACTGGACGCGCTCTCCCGTCCGCGCCCCTCCCACCTGCATGCATTGCGGCCGGTCGGCGGGCGGACCGGCACGCCGTCCCGGGACGTCGTGGCCGGCGCTGGAGCCCGGCGTGCGCGCAGCCAACGTCAGCCGTGACGTCAGCGACAGCAAGCCGCCGCCGGCGCCGCACGTGCCGGCCGTAGTCGTGGCCGGCCGGGCGCGTCGGCGGTGTGGTGTGGAGCGGCGTGAGAGGTGGGGCGCCGGAGTCGTGTCTGGTCCAGCGGCCGGAGCCGACTGCGTGAGTACCGCCGTGTGGTTGGCCGACGGCTGTCGCTCCGGCCTGTGTTGTCTGTGCACCGCTGGCGGCTGCGGTTTGTCTGGGCCGGCCGGGGCTCGGAGAGCGATGCCGTGCACCGTGCCGCCGGCTCGGCCGCCGACGCGATGCGGTCGGTCGACCGGCTCAGGCGGCCGACAGTCGTGACTGCTCGCGCGCTGGCGTCTCGTATTCGCGTCACGCTCGGCCGTCTCCGGGGCAGAGACGGGCTGTGGTACGCCCGTCCCGGCCGACAGCAGGCCGCTCCCCCCGACCCCCGTGCGGGCCCGGTCCAGCTCACGCACCGGCCGCGAGGCGCGTTCAGATCCACCCAAGCCGGCCGAGTGCGGCCCTCTGCGCCGTGGATGCGCGCGGCTCGGTGGCCTAACCGCGCTGTCTTGCGGACGTGGCGGCGCCGCTACCCGCTGCTCAGGCCCGCGCTCAGGTGTGGGCGGGGGCGTAGAGAATGGAAACGATCTGACGACAGGTGCCCGCGCGCCTCCAACGCGCACAGCCAAGTTGCGTCGTCTGACTTGCAGATGCGACCACCTCGCCGATGCAAGGCAGGCACCCGCCAGTGCAGCGGAGCATTTGGTGTTCTGCTGGCCATTCCGCGCTGCTGCAATGAGGAAATGACTGGCGTGCCTTTCGTAAGGCTGAAATTTTGCGAAAATGAACCCGTGCAGTTCACTGCAAAGCGTAACGAATGCATTCGGGAAGCATGGAACATAATGACTGCATTAGCATATTAAACCCAAATGGGGAATTCGCTAATTCCACGCGGCGTGCCATTTTGCAGGCATTGCACTCGTTAGACCGTTGTAGCAGGAGGTGTGTGTGTGTGCCGCCTTCACATTGTCCGTTTTGCTTCCCACGGGTGTGAACATGCAGTTGCAGAGCGTGAAGACGGTGAAACCTGGCTGCTGAAGCCAACGCGACGTCCGTCTCGCTGCTCTATCAAAACAAACTAGGTTACTGTACCGAAAATGATTGGGGAGAAGTAAGGCTTGGTCTTCAATGACTCTATTTTCCTTTACTCTGTTGAATCGGAAAGATCCTTATTTGCATTTTGGGGGTCTTGGTCGCATACTGGTAGCGGTTGCGATGTGGTTGAAGCGATGACGGTGTCGGCGCGGGCTGACGCGCCTTTCTTGCCCACCTCTGGTGGCCGACCGCGGCTGACGCGCGTCTGGTGACGGTGGCCGGCTTTGACTGACGTGCGTCTAGTGACGGTGGTCGGCCATGACTGACGTGCGTCTGGTGACGGTGGCCGGTAATGGCTGACGTGTGCCTGCTGACGGAGCCAGCCGTGACTGACGCGCGCCTGGTGACGGTGGCTGGTCGTGACTGACGTGTGCCTGGAGACGCCGGCCGTGACTGACGTGCGCCTGGAGACGCCGGCCGTGACTGACGTGCGCCTGCCCCGTCACAGGCGGCCCGCTGTCCTGATGCGCCTCTGGTGACGGCGCCGGGCCGAGCCCGTGGCGCGCCATGTCGTCCGGCCGGGACGGGCCGCCGCCGCCGCTGCCGGCCGCCGAGCCGGCGCGGCGCCCGGACGCGGCGCAGCCGGCCCGCGAGCGCACGCCGCCTGCCACACCCGCCAAGAGCAAGCTGATGACGGCTCGCGTCCTCCTGCTGGACGACTCGCTAGTGCCTTTCTACATCCAGGTGAGTGGGCCGGCAGCTGGGGCCCGGGGAGAGCGGGACGGGGGCGGTCTAGCAAACGTCCGGTGCCAGCGGTCAGTCATCAGTGGCGTGTGATGGTGGGCTCAGATGCGCTGGCGTCTGGGAGTGTCAGCACATGGCTCCTGTGAGGGACGCCTTCCCTGGCACGCTTATCCTCTTGCGAGTGCTGAGCGTGGCATCGGATCAGTTACCAGCATGGAACATGTTTGTGACGCCCAGATATCATTTTCATGGGGGCTTCACGGCGCACTCACGAGCTTAGGCTGGGTGAGGGTCGCCTGCCTCTCACCCTTGTGGGAAGGGTGAACATTATAGCAAGTGCGATCCTTTCGTCTGCATTGATCTTTGTCGTTTTCATGAACGCGGCGTGTTGGTGCTAGGGAAAGTAAACATCTTATTTCGCGAAATTCTGAGTTTCCGTAGCTGCCTCCTACATTCCCGAAGGTAGACTCCACAAGCTGCTGGAAAACAGCTGACATGTTAGCTGTCCCGCCTGAGTTATTTCGGTCCTGTTTCAAGCGGGACTCTCGAAGTTATCTCACCAATCTTTTCCCATTTCGCGTATCTGGACGATGACTGTTGTTAGCTGCCCGCATGATGACATGTACCGCTGCTAGCTCGGAATGTTTGCCGCAAAACAGGCCCGCTGAACCCGTATACTTGTTGCACGCCAAGGTGGCTGGTTGGTTGGTCGGGCGCCGACGCTGGGGCTCTGTGGTGGAATGTCAGCTGTCGTGGCCGTCCAGCGGAGTCGGCGTCGGCCGGGGATGGGGGTCGTACGGAGGTCAGTCGACCCATCAGACATGGACCGACCCATCCTCGAATAGAAGTATGGTCAAAGCTGTAATTAGGGGGATCAATCCGGTGCCGACGGGGGTGCCGGTAGTGTAGTGGTTGACGCGTCTGCGTTAACCACTGCGAGTCTGGGAAACCAGAGGTACGGGGTTCGATTCCCCGCGGTGCCCGCCCTTCCTGCCAGGGTGAGAGGCAGGCGACGCCATATAACCTCAGTTGCTGAGTGCGTCGTAAGGCCCCATTGACACACAGTCTGATGCCGAAAACAGGCATTTTTGGGTAAACGATAGCTCCAAATGACGTCACTGCGGTGTGAAATTACATCAGCCAGCATGTGTGATATGGATTTATGTTCTTATCTTGCCACGAATTCCAGCATGAAGCATTTATTGTTTGGTATAAGTCAAGGACAGAATGGATTCATTGGAAACCGAGGTAACTGTTAAGAAATGCGTCGAAACAGCACGTAATTTGTACTCTTCGTTTTTACAAAACGTTGCATAAAATTCAGAACACGAAAGAAATGTTCACTTTGTTTTAAATCATCGACTTGTAGCACATTTCTCTGGGGAACTCGGTACGAGTTTGCTGCAATGCGCCGCTTTGTTGACAGGCCGTCGCCACGTTACCGCCAGACCTCCCATTTTTTATCAGTGTTAAATGTTGCGACTCCCCAGAGGTATCATCAGCCAGTTTTGATACCAGCTAAAATGGCAACCTGCTGCGTTACCAACAACGTCCAGAACCAAATCCGTGAGGATTACGACAGTTGTTGCAGGTCCATTTTGATAAACAGGGGAGGTGTCGGGGGGGGGGGGGGGGGAGGGGGAGAGCGGGGCGCAGGGTGGTTCTGACGGGCCTTGTAATGCGTCCTGCGGGGAAAAGCTACTTATGCTCGGAATTTTGGTGGTGATCCAATCAGGGAAAGACGGAAGATGTGTTTGTTAATCTCTAGCACCCTTTGGGCAGCTTATCGGTATCTCCCGCTTCCCGCTTTTGTTGTCAAAATGGATCCGACCGCTATCTGCATGAGCTGCACGGTTCACGGCTGCAGTCAACTAAAAAACGATCGCTACGTTTTCGAACTGAATGACCCTACAGGACTACAGAGGCCGGTCCTCTCCCCTGGACTGGCGTCGGCCGCCTGATCGGGCTGGCAAAATCAACGCTGTCTGGCTGATAACAGCAGCCCGACCATATGGCCGGTGGGGCGCTGGGGCTTTACCACGACAGTTCTGGGGTCCGGCCGGCGGCGGGGTGGGTATGTTTCAAACCTGACTGGCCGACTGAGCCGGCGGACGCTGGCCGGCTGAGCCGGCTGAGGCTGGCTGACTGAGCCGTCAGAGGCTGGCCGACTGAGCCGGCGGACGCTGGCCGACTGAGCCGTCAGAGGCTGGTGGACTGAGCCGGCGGACGCTGGCTGACTGAGCCGGTGGACGCTGGCCGGCTGAGCCGGCTGAGGCTGGCTGACTGAGCCGTCAGAGGCTGGCCGACTGAGCCGGCGGACGCTGGCCGACTGAGCCGTCAGAGGCTGGTGGACTGAGCCGGCGGACGCTGGCTGACTGAGCCGGCTGAGGCTGGCTGACTGAGCCGTCAGAGGCTGGCCGACTGAGCCGGCGGACGCTGGCCGACTGAGCCGGCGGAGGCTGGCTGACTGAGCCGGCTGAGGCTGGCTGACTGAGCCGTTAGAGGCTGGTCGACTGAGCTGTCAGAGGCTGGCCGACTGAGCCGGCGGAGGCTGGCCGACTGAGCCGTTAGAGGTACCGGGCCATCTGACGCGCGCGGCCGAGTCCGTGTTCCGTCGGCGGACCGGGCGCAGCTCGTCTGACTGGCCGGGTGGCCATCTCGGCTGCCCGCTTCCCTTTTGCTCATTTCCGGCGCCGGACAGAGTCGGGACAGCTGGACAAATGGCGGGCCGCGGGGGCCGATGACCGGCCTGGCGGCCCGCCGGCCGGTGCATGAGAGGCGACCGTCAGCTAGCTGTCCAAAACGCCCCCTTCCCCCCCCCCCCCCATCCCCTTCCTCGACACGAGCTGTGGCGGCGTTGACCATTAAACGGGAACTATATTGCGCATCAGTTTTGTAAATGGATGCCTCAAATAACTGCATTTCATATGAGTTGGCCAGCATTCAGCATCATATATGGAAATGTGTGTCTGCTGTCCCGGCTTGTCACCTGTTGTATGGAATTAGCGTGACCATTTTGGGGGCGTTTTTCTGTGGTTATCTTTGCCACGTATTTTGAATATTTCACTCTCTTTCATGACATTTGAGAGAGTTCAACAACATTGGCTGATCTGTGGGTTTATTTGCACTGGGCATGGTCTGGCTGACGCGTGGCACCTCACCGCATATCATCGGGCTCTGACTCACGGAGATCGGCCGCGGGCCGCGCCGGCCGTGCAACCGTATCTGGGCTAATTCCACTGACTTAAGATTTATGTCGAACATGAGATGGGACTGGTGGCCCCAGTGATGGATCCAGTTCATGTCTCCTTTGATAGATGCCATTTGAAGACGCTTTCGTGTTTGGCTGATTCCTTTGTTAAAGGCAAACGAATCTTCACCTTTAGCGCGTGGACAGCGGCGAATGATATGGGAGGCTTCCACTGATGTTCCGTTCCGCGCATACGTGCCCGCGCACGCGGCGTGCCACACGCCCACGTGCTCGTGTTCGGAGGGCATGGTGGGCGGCTGTGATCCGGCCCCTCGAGTGCACCCGTGATCTCATGTCGACGCGAGTGGAATCAAGCGGAACCGGACGCGGCTGGATGCGCCCTTGTCACGAACGAGTACACATGTTACGGCTGTACCGTGTGCGGCCGGGGGCGTGCAGGAGCACGTGGGCGAGTGAGCACGGGCTGGGCTGCCGAAGGGTGCCTGGCCGCGCGCTGCGCTGGACCGTCGGCCGGCCGATGGCTGGGCCCACAGAAGGCGTTTGTCGGGCGGCGGCGGACAGCGGCGGGGAGCGTCAGGGCCACCGCGCCGGCGCCGCCCTGTCGCCAGCTGGCCTCTTCCCTGCGCTGGGAGGCCAGATGACCCGGGAAAAAGAGCCGGCCCTCGAATAGTGCCAGCCGGCGCTCCGGGCACCGCTGTCCAACACTTGCCGTAGGGCCCGTGCTGGCCGCTTGGGCAGGTGTCGGGCGCACGTGCCTGGCCGACGGCCGCCGTGTCGGGCCGGCGTCGGGCGGCCGTCGCTGTCGGCGCGGCGCGGCCTGTTAGCTTTGGGCCGCGGCCAGCCTATGATCCGCGAGGACCTGCCGTGTTTGCTTTACGCCGTGTCTTTGTTTACCCACGGTGGCTAATCGTCGGGCGGCCCGGTTTCGGCGCGCTGCCCGCCAGACGCGGCACGCTCGCGCCAGCGCCGGCAAGTGGCTCCCGCTGTTTTCCGGCGGCGGAGGTGTCGACGACGAGCGGACGCGAGGCGGGCGGGCGGGCGCGCGGCCGCGGCGGCCGCGGCCGACGGCACTGGCAGCCGGCCGTCTGGTACGGCGTGAACTGAAGGCGCAGGTGCCTCGGGCCAGCGGAAAATACCGAGGTCTTCTGGCGGGGCGGTGACTTGAAGTTGTTAACTGCAACATCACATGTGGTGATGCCGTAACAGGTGCAACACCCTTGCCAGTGGTTCGCTCCTGACGTGGCCAACGGTGGCGTCACACTTGTCTGGGGATGGCGTCGGCCAGTGGCGAACGGGTCTCGGGTTACGGGTGCGTGCCGGAGTATTCATCACATTTGGCGATGTCCGACAGGCACTTGCACTGGCCGCTCACTGGCAGGGATGCCGATGCCCGGATAGCGATACCGATGCCCCGTCCTGGCTTGTGCCTGGTATTTCCCGTGGATTGTACAGACCCTGCACGCGATTGCTTGAGAGTAGGCAGTTTGGACTGCCTTGTGTGACGCTGCAGCTACCCCGAGTATCACCCTAAGGCGAAGCGACATTGATAACAAAGTGCGCGGCTGTGGCAAATTATGTCGTAAATCTACTACCACAGAGATAATTTGTCATATGGGAACGCTGTAATTGCATTCCGGCCGCCGGTGGGTCCATTGGCCAGTCATGTTTGACGTTCCGATGTCCCTCTTTTTCCCTCCCCCTGTCTCTCTCCTTTCTCGCCCCCCCCCCCCCCCCCCCCCCCCAGCCCGCTCCCTTTCTCTATTATTTTACCCCGTATCTCGCTCTCCCC